TGGTAGGAGCACCTCATGAATATGACCAACATGCCAAAGCAATTTAAAACTGAAAAAAATATTTGTGATCCAACACCTCGTCTGAGTAAATAGCAATATGCAATGGAAAAAGAGTAGCGTACCCTAAGCCTGTGATCGCCACCAACTATCCTGATGCTGAGAATATGTTTATCATCATCAAGGAGTTCCAACCTTTCTGTGCTTGTGGTGGCTGGGAGCCCAGACTTGACATCAACTTCTCTGAGACTTCCAATCTCAAGATTCCCCTGGACTACACACCTGCTTATAAATGGCTTGTACTTTTGAGGTTGATCAAATCTTCGCACCAAGGACCAAACCTGGTGACAATTAAATTAGAACGTGCACGTCCCCAAAAGAATCAGCTGAGCGTGAAAGAAATATTTTGATAATCAAGTTATAAAAACATGATAGTGCAGTTCTACACTAATTGAAATTTGATTTCAATGTTAGTTAAATTTGATTTTCTCCAAGTTTTCTCTCTCTTTTAGCAGTTTTAAGTAAGAGCTGGTCTTTCAGCTTGATTAACATGCACGATTCCAGAGTCCTTATATGCGTATTATTAATTTTCCAATATCCTGGTGAAAATATATCACTAAACCTCGCAAGTTAGTGATCCAAAATCAATTGGCCCAATTCTTAGGACTGGCTCAGTTCATCTGAGATCTCTATTCCTTCACATTCGCAACAATAGATCATTTTCAAATACAGTAGACAGTTATATATCTAAACTTTTGGCAACATAGTAGACTTAACAACACTAGCAAACTCCAAAACAAACAAGCCACAGATCTGTGATTTTACCAGCTTTTGAAAAAGGGGAAAAAAAGGGTAGGCAAACATTTTTTAAAAGTTCCAATTTGAGTATGAGCCAATATATCGAAAATATTAAATTTTCCGTAACTTATGAGTTCAAAGTTTTTGGATCTAACTGTGATCTAATGTAGTATAGTATTAAAGCAGGAGGCCCTAAGTTCATCTAAAAAATCTTATCTTTCTATTTTATAATAATCCAGAGGTTGAGCTTCGTGCTAATATTCGAGTATACAAATGAAGAAAGGAAAATGTCGAGAATTGGTTGGAAAAATTATATTTACCCAAGCTCAAGTTAAAATTTTGGGTTTAGTAGTAATTTAAGTAGATTAGAAAATTAAACTATACATGAAATCCTTATAACTATATGTCTACTACTCTGCAGAAACAGAGATAAGCACTAAACAGAATTTGACGATGATTCTATTCATAAAACCACAAAACAATGGAAATACTCGAGATCTCTAGTAAATGATGCACGAAAAAAACGCGCAAAAAATTATTAAAGGACCGAATTTTGAGGAAGAAAATGCCTAACAGAGAGTTCAAATCCCGACCCACCAAGGATTTACCATTTCACAATTTACAAATATGCACGTAGACGAAGAACAGAAAAAGAAAAGCGCACTACAGAAAACATAAATACAAAAAAATGTATACCGTACATGTAAAATCTATACCCAATCACATCGAAGCAACACAAATTCCACACACGCACATGAACAACCACATCGGAAGAGAGAAGAGAGGAATCTTACAAGGGGAACAGGGGCTTTGATGTGCTTGACGAGCACGGAGCTACACTGGTTGGCAGCAGGCTCGTGCCTGTGATGCCTCCTAATGTACTCCCACTCCAGGCTACTAAATCCACCATTCCCACTCATTTTCGAAATTGACCCTCTCTTCCGTAGTCGAGGCAAGGAATAAGGGAAGCCACAAATCAACAGTAGCTCAAACCTAAAGAGGGTTCATGGTTTTCCGTACAACGATCGGAAACCAAGTCCAAGCGGTACTCGTTGTCATTCGAGTTTCCGAAGGTAAGGGTCGATCGGAATTCCACCGGAGCTCAGATCGCCTTGGGCGACAAAACGACGGCGAGGATAGAAATGCCCTCACTCCTCAGTCAGTGGGCTGCTGCTGCATAGGCAAAGGCAAGCAGACAAGAAATAACCTCAAGTTTCTCTATCATCCATCCTCATCCCATCTCTTCAAAATATAATAAACCCAACAACAAAAAGTTTCAAGTATGTATTAATATAAGATGAGAGCAAAAAAAAATCTTGGGGTTAATTAATTATAGTTCTACTCCTACCCAGTAATCTAACTTTTTTGCCTAATAATCTTTTCTTTTTCATTTTAATTTTAGTTTTAGAAAATGACATCTTGTAATCTTACTTTTATTACACAAAATGTTGTTAAAAAGTTCACTTTTTTCACTATTACAATGTTGGTTTTCAATCGTAGATTAGAACTAATTGGCAAAAAACAAAAAAAAAAAAAATCAAAATTAATGAACAAATCTCAAATTGGAAAAGTTGTTCTTTTTTTTAGATAGAATGAGATCTTTCTATTAAGAAATCAAGTAAAGTACAAAATAAATTTCAATTGATTTGATCAATCTAAAAAGTTAACGTGCAAAATAACTTAGAATGTCAAAAGATTTAACTAATATTTTGTATAGTTTGTTATGGCGACTCTTAACACTTAAGCAAGTGATGAAAAACAAAAGAGAGAGATAAAAAAGGGAGAAAAAGCATGAAAGAATGTGCATCTTGAATAATTGTAAAGACCTCCATTCATAAAGGGAAGAATTCCACTTCTCTTGGACCATTTTATGAGTAGATTTCTTCTACACAAGGTTGAAGAATCGTAATCAACATTAAACGTTTTTCTGATGAACCAAAAGAAAACGCACATGAAGATAAGATAAAGTCATCACGGGGTTGGAAGAAACCTACTAAATATGGCAAGCATAGAATTTTCCCTAGTTTGAGTTGAAAAAGTTGTAAAATTTTTTAGCATGCTGCATCCAATCCATGAAAGCATGATCGAAGTCTTATTGCTCTGAGTATTGACAAATAATAAAGTAAAAGCTTAGGAGAATAAAAGCATTACATTTCCACATTATTTACTTATTCATTCTAAAATGCATCTGTAAAATATCCATGAAGAAATTCATTCTCATCAACATCCAATCAAAATTTCTCTCTTTCTTCATGCTTTAAAACTTCCCTTTCTCTTCAATTTCTATGAGATCAGATAATGTGAATTGGAGGAGTAATATGGTAAGTTTGGTTGGAAGTGAGCTTTCTTGAAAGAAACAAACTGCCAAAAGAGTATGGATTTTCTCATGTGTCATTGTCAACCAATGACAATAAGTAAACATTTCTAGAAATAGCCCAAAACTCATCCAATTTGAACACTAAACCTATAACTTCAATCTTGTAGTGTTGTGCCATTTCTCAAGTTCATGCATTGCATTGCATCATTATGCTTCTTTAAACCACAAACTCTATCATTCATCTGTAATTAAAGCTTTCCTAAGATAAATATTATCCACCAATAGCCTCCCGGAGGCTTTATAGGAACCATCAACTTATGTTTACCAAAAATATCAAACTTATCCATAACAATCAGAAATACAATACCACAACAGTCATGGATATGGAGTAGTATAGAAGGATTGAAACTTTTCCACAAATTCTCAAACCTAACTCCAGGTTTACGGATAACTTTGAAACAAAAGAAGTTAAACCATTAAGTACAAAGATTCTCAACTTTCTCCTCTCATATACAAATGAGGCAGGTGAACATCATTCTCATGAAAACGATTACACTCATTTCTCACCAAATTGAGTAAAATCCATTCATCTAAAAAGGTTAACCCATGTTCTTGGCTTCAGAAATTTAATTGTGAGATTCCCAGCTTCCTAGATTTACAAAAAAAAGTCCCATGTGTGTGGAGTAAGTACCTTCCTCTCTAAGGGTAAAGCCTATATCAATTTACAGCCTTGGTCTCGAACGAAATACCTGCCTGAAAGATATGTAGAATGTTGTCCTCCAAAGGGCGGTCCGTTGACAAGGGCATTCTGTCTTTGAGTAGCACCTATCCAAAAGTTACATGTTCAAACCTTCAAATGAGTTTAATAAAAAAAAAATCTCAATGTCTCCCGGGTCCAGACCTTGAGACGGACACAAGTGCCTCGGGTATAGAAAAACAAAGCTTCAATTCCAAATTATGAAAAGAAAAGTCAATTCAGAATGTTTGTTCTTATTCGTCCCAAAAAGATCTAGCCCATCTGGTTTGGTCTGGTCTGGGCCTTAAAATTAGATTCTCAAAAAAGTGTTCATTCTTGTCAATCGGCTCATGGTTGTTTGGGATCACAAAAGCTATCAATTTTCTTTAGTTTCTCCAGAATTGACGATTGCTTCAAAAATCAGCTGATGAGAATCTTCTACAAAAGGAATGTTGATTGATTTTTATAACAGGAAATAGCTTCCAAAGCCATTGGAAGCATCTTAAACCTAATACAATTTGGCTCGTGAGTGAAGAATCTTAAATTTTCTAAACTACTCTCACCGGTGCCTTGTCCACTAAAATTGAAAAAGATCACAAATTCACAATTCATTGAGTAGTCACCCACCAAAATATTATTGCACAATATGACCTCATATTCCATGAACATTTGTTTCCTTCCAAAATGTGTCCTGACTTACAAGAGTAAAATAAAGTGGGTTCGTGCCTCATATCAATTTACCAATCCCAAATAAGTCCTACAAATAAGTTATATTTTTTCTTTCTTCTAATGATTTTAGCGCAGAGGTGGCTCGAGGTAATCCGTGAAGAGAAAGAATACGATACTAGTACTTTAAAGTTTAAAATAAGAAATCACTGGCAAGGTATTTTGTTTATAAAGAAAACTACCGGAATCACTTAGCTCCGTGAGAGCTGATATCATTCCATCATTCTCCAAATCTTTGATATGAGTATCAACGAAAGTGCTGATCGAACACTAGAAGTCTCCAAAAGTCTTTATCTTTTAAAATCATAACCTGAGTAGAAACATTGTAATTTAATTAGTGAGATGGATCATTCAACTTTAAAATTTTAAGACAAAAGAAACCCATTCTTTCTATTTGCTGATGCAGAATCGAATAACCAAGGAGTTCCTAAAATACTGCTTCCAAAAATCTCAAAAACCATGAAAGGAACTGACGTTTGTCAATTTTTTGGACAAGTCTTGTCACAAGAGAGCTCCGATGCTAGGAGTTACAAAAAAAAAATGTCGCAGATCTCACAATTTTTCTGCCAAATGTCAAATAATTACAGGGGAAAAAAAGGTTCTCTTATGAGGGAGAAGACACTTGCAGACTCTCAGTGATCTACGAAAGCTTTATGCATAAAGGAATAACGCTTCATATGCAAAGAAAAACCCACAACACGAATCTAAAACCTTCAGTACACCTTTATGCAGAACCAGGGATTCCACCAATATCCATAATTGTTTAAACTTGCTTTTTCAACCAGCAAAAACATAACTAGATTGGATTAATAATCAAGAAAAAGAAAAAACAACAATTTTCCATGGCAAAGAACAGAACAATTAATCTACATTTCCCCACATATAGCATCTCCCTCATTAAAAAAAATGGTTTCTCCTTTGGATTAAAAAAGTGATGGATACCCAATGAATAGCATAAAGGGGGCTAAAGGGTATTATTCTTTTCTCCCTTTTTGTTTTGTCCTTTTTCCCTTGATTTTCATCTTTCCTGTGGGCTCAGCCGCTCATATCCTGTCAAAGAGTAGTAGGCCAAATCATTTGGAAATTGGAATATTCTGTCCTGAAATAAAGAAATCGACTACTCCGACTATTCAGTAGAATAATGTATATAAAAAGTTAAAAACAGAGCCGCTAAAATCCCCCTTCCCTCCTCACACACACAAACACACTTCAAGAGAGGCGAGAGCAGGTTCTGCACTACTTTATTCTGAAAACCCTATACTTTTGGAGCTTTTCCACCAATCAAATGGATTGCTTGCAGCAGAAACAAAATCGTTACGTCTCTAATAAAAAATCGATTACCTCGCGATATGTCGTTTCTGAGCAGAGACCGCTGCCTGTGACGCTTGTGATTGATCCACAAATTCCCTCATCGAATTCATGAGAAGTGATGCCCGATGACTAATTGTGTGGTTGCATCTGTCCTGATGTAATTGTTTGTTTGGTTTCTGAGAAAATTGATGGAAAGGGCCACGCAGCGAATCGCGCCGATTCATGGGTTAAAGTTGGACACTTGGCTAAAAGTTTCTAAAATTGCACCAGTGAATCGAAAATGTGAAAAATAAATGGAAAATGAATTAAAAAAATATCTTTTAAAATAATAAATATTACGTGGTAATTGGTGAGGAAAGGATGTGTGCTGTAAAAAGTAATTCACAGTTTTCCAAGTAAAAGTACGGTGTTATCAAGGAAATAAAATTTAGAGTTTAGACAATAATGAAAATAAACCTCAAGCAAAATCACCCGGGAGCTTAAATCAACAATAATAATAAATAAACAAGTAACGATACAAGTAGACTATTTTTGAACATCTAATTACATAAATGTCTAAAATTCTACTAGATTGGATTTATTTGCCATAAAACTTATAACACGCCTCATGTGTGGACCAAATTCGTTTGAAAATAATCTACTCTTTCTCTGTAACATCTACCATTATGCTTACAACCCAACATCATGCGAACATCTCAACCTGACTTGTGAATGCCTTCCGGCTCCCGCTCGTGTGGAAGATTATCTTTATAATGTTAAATTTTTTAGAATTACTAATATGGAGTACTGCACATATTTTGTATATTAAATTATTTAGAATTACTGATATGGGTATATTTTGGATTATATAGCAATAAGAGGTATTGGACAGGTATATATTTATGATATGGTAGATAATATATATAAAAATGTATATATTATAAACCAAAATTGAGGTTTATATTATATAACCTAATTAATAGGTTGGGAAAATTAATGAATCTAGGAAAAAAAAAAAAGAAGTCGTTGGGAGATGGACATGCGGAGTGAAAACCTTCATCGAAAATATGAAGTCTTAGGAGATTTTTGCACTTGAAAAATGGAAATAAAAAGAAACTTGTAAGCCGTCAAGAAGAGAATGTTTTATCGACATTTAGTAGCTTGAAAGGATGAATGACATGAAATTTTGAATCTTTCGTAAAAATAGTACACACATGAATATTAAGAAAATACCAGTGTAATTAAAATGAAATAAAAAATTATTATGACAAGATTTATTGTGGTTGTAATATATAACATTAAAGATAAATCTCTATTCATTTATAAATAAATAGTTGAAATTAGATAATAAATGTTAAAAGATGGCATTATTAATGCAATATTGCTACAAAAAGTTGAAATTCAAAATATCGAAATCTAAAATTTGAAAAATTTGAAAAAAAAAAATAAGACATTTGTAAAATATGAGATAATTGCTCTAGCTTTCATCTCTAAGCCCATTATAGGTTCCAACCTGTTGTGCTCCAGAGCTATACTCACCCAAATTAAAAAAGCCCAATCCATTAGCCAAAATTCAATGGGCCTTACCGCCAAAGCCCATATTTAGTATTTTCTTCTTGTTAACTACATATTTAAATATTTAGTTGTTAAAGTACAGTGATTTATTTTAATTAGTTGTAAATCAGCCTTCATTGAAATATTTGAGCCGAGTAGCGATAAAGTAATCTACTGCCCCACACATATTATACTTAAAAAAATAATAATAATAAATAAATATTGAATTAACAAATTTAATAAATTCTGAAGTCATTACATCGAGATTCATTTTGTATTGAACAAATTTACTTTATTAGATCTCTTAAACATTTCTAAACCTCATTCTTACCCACACACATGACACATATATATATTTGTATTTATTGCAAGACATACATAAACATATCTCCTTCTATAGGATACCTATGGGATGATCTATGCGGTATGTACATATATGCAACCAAAATTATATAAAATACATTGTGCTACAAGGAGGGCAGTGGCTATATTATTGTATACATAATTACTAAAATGACCTCCTCCACTCCACTACTTAATAATTAAGGGTCTGTGATTGAAGAAGCACGCTTCCATCTTGCTAAGCTTTGCAAGAAAATTAAAACTTGAGATGGATCCTTCAAAGTGTAGCAAGCTTTTGTTTGCTTTGGAATGGAAGATACAAGAATTCCAATCCCTTCTCCTCCTCTCCTTTGTATTGCCTACAAAACAAATTAATTATATTTATTCCATTAATTCCCACCATCAAATATTTTCTTTAAAAATAAAAAATACCTTGAATGCATCTTCATCGGTTCGATCGTCACCAATATACACAGGAATTATATCCTTAGAATTAGTATGTCCAAGAATATGAAGATAATATTCCACCGCATGCCCTTTGTTCCAGTTTATTGTCGGTCTTATTTCTATAACCTATATATTTCAAAATTTTCATACAAATTAATACACAATTCACATATTGTCACATAACGAGCAAAAAAAAATTGAATTTACCTTTTTGCCCTGCGTTACATGGAAATCTGGATAGTTTTCCAGTACAGACTCTACCTTCTCCTCCAACTTCTCCAGGTCCTGCATGTCAATAATAAAGAGAGAAAAACTTTTCTTCAAGCACATGCACGTGACGTGCAGATATATATATATATATATAGAGAGAGAGAGAGAGAGAGAGAGAGAGAGGAAAATTTAAAATTTAAAATTGGTGACCTGTTCGCGGACGTGTCGATAATGCACAGAAACACAGAATCTATTATCCTCCACCACTGCACCTTCTATTTCTGTAATTTCTTCTTCCAACACGGCCTTTATCTGTGTAAATAATTAAATATCAAATTAATTACTGTTTTTTTATTTTATAATTTTTTAAACAGAAGCCAAATTAATTATAACCTGTTGAACTGCAGGCAGGAACTTTTTGGCGGGTTGATACGCAACCTCCTCCACCTGCAAATGCAAATGCAGTACACAATATCATTATTTATTTATTTATTTGAATTAAAGTCGACATGTCGAAATTAAATGTTATAAAACCACAAGAAAATAACCTCATTGTCGGATGTTGGAGCCATAATGTCCATTCCGTGGCTCCCAGCATAATACACGTTATTCAACTTCACGAATTCTTTCACCTGAAACCAATATTTTATTTTATCTAATAATTAATTAATTACGGCTTATTTTGTTCAATTGAAAATATAAATGTTAATTAATTCATACTTTGTCACGGCTCCTTCCGCTTATTATTGCTGTTGGAAAGCAGTTTGCCACTTCTCTCACACCTGCTCTCATCTGCATTCAAAAAAAAAAAACAAAAAAACAAAAAAAATCGTCTATTATTTCACAAACATTATAAAAAAAAATTTCGAAAATTAAGATATTAAGATATTCTATTTCTCTCGTATGTACTTATTTTAAAAAAAGACGATCGCAATTTCTTTGACTTTTATTAAAACTATGGTCATGTTTTAGGTTAAAGGGTAAATTTCATCCTACTTTAATTTGGGTTTTAGTTTCCAATTAATATAATTTTGTCCCTTGATTATACCTCTATCTTTTATTCAAACCCTAAACCCTAATAAGGTCAATTAACCAGATACAAAATATCACCTCATTATTGCGTTAAAAAATATAACGAAAGTTTGACCAACTTAAAATTCGTAAAATAAGGACAAACAAAACTCAAATTCTAGAGAGTAAATGAAAACTTTGGAAAGCAAATTGACGACACCTATCTCTTTAAAGTAAACTTTTTATTTTCCTAATTTGGTATTTTAGAGAATAAAGGAAAAAAAACCATTAAATTAATGGTTTTCCTTCAATGAAGTTTAAAAAAAAATGAAAAACAAGAATATTATGTAATATATATGGGTATATCCCAATATCCCAAGCATGACGGCATTAAATATTTTTAAGATTTGAATATAATTAATGGTGGTGAAAGTATGGAAAGTTAATTATATCGATGTGAAAAATAAAATTAGGAAAAAAAATATTTACCTCAGGAGACATGAAAGCACGATCAGGATCATCAACAATGGGAGAGAGGGTTCCATCATAATCCAAAAACAAAACAATTTTCTTCCCTTTGGCTCCCTTCATCATCTTCTCAAACGATTCCAAACCACAAGGGTGTTTTCTCTGTACAATAATATAATTTCATTAATTAATATCAAATTCATTTAATTTCAACAAATAAAAAAAAAGAAAAAAAATTAAATCCATATATACATACCAGCCATGAAGTGTAAGTTTCTAATTCAGTGGAGTTGCGGTCATCGGAAAGGAGGTTGGGCAGTCCCATTGCGGATCTCCACGAAACTGGGCGGCCGGTGGGCAGCCCGAAAGCAAAAGGGAAAAAAAT